GATTCCCTAACATGCCACCCAGATCATCCTACAGTGAGGTTTAAGGATTACAAGCCTCACCCATGTGCTCAAGGCTTCTCATCAGCTTTTTAATTCAAGCCCTTTAATCATGAGCAGATAATCAAAATAAAAAACAAAACAAAATAGAAAAGCCTCTTACCTTAGAGACCAGAAGACATAGAAAAAAAGCAACTTGGACGAGACAGATACTAGTCGGGAAGATGAAAACTTCAAAAGCTCATTATCTTTAGATATAAGATGTTGTAACCATGAAACAAAAATAAAATTCTAGGAAAAAGAATATTCAGAGACCATAAAAAGCATTCTCAAAAGGTAAAAACACCATACAAACTGCAAAACTCAATAGAAGAGTTAGATGACAATGTTGATAAAATCCCTAACAGTTAAACAAAAAGAATAGAGGGGGGAAAAAAGAAAATTAGAGGTCTACACTAGGAAATTCAACTACTAGAAGTTGAACATTCAACTACTAGAAGTTCTGGTAAGACAAAATAGTGGGGGTGGAAGAAGGGGCAAGCAGGAAAGGAAATGATGACTGAGATCAAGAAAAATGTCATGAGTGATACCAGTTTCCAAATTGAAAGGGTCCAATTAGAACATAGCACAATAGATGGAAACAGACCCATGGCACATGGTTGTAAGTTTCAAGGAACACTGAGAATAAAGAAGATTCCACAAGCTTGGGGGCAAGTGGGGAGCTGGGTACATAAGTCACATGCTAAAGGATCAAGAATTACAGTGGATTCAGATATATCAACAACAGTAAAAGACAACAGAGGAATGTCCTTTAAAATCTGAAGGAAAAATAACTCCCAGCTTAGAATTCTATATCTAGCCAAACCATCAGTCAAGAATTGAGATACTTTTTTTTTTTTTTTAAGATTTATTTATTTTTAGAGAGAGAGCACGCACGAGCAGGAGGGCCAGAGGGAGAGGGAGAGAGAATCTCAAGCAGACTCCATGCTAAGCACAGAGCCCAATGCCAGGTTCCATCTCATGACCCTGAGATCATGACCTAAGGTGAAATCAAGAGTGAGATACTTTACTCACTGTGCCACTCAGGCACCCCAAGAATTGAGATCCTCTTAAGAATGTACTGAAGGATATAATCTACAAAGATGAAATGGTAGAAGAAGAAAGAGGAAACAAGATACCAGAGGCTGGAGATCATCTTAGAGGAGAAGTACAAAATATCTCCAGGAAGATGGTGAGGGGTCAGGATGATGGATGTGCACATCATCTCTGAGATCATACTGTCATTTTACTATCTTATTAACTGAGAACCAAATGCCCAGGTGACCCTGCCCTCAGCTCTTATCTCTACGTGCTTTGTCCTGACTGCGTCTCCGTTCCTTTTTAACACAGTACCTATATATTTTTTTAAGATTTTATTTATTTGAGAGACAGAGAGCCTCTGAAAGAGAGAGCATGAGGAGAGGGGAGGGGCAGAGGGAGAGGGAGCAGCAGACTCCCCGCTGAGCAGGGAGCCCCATGCAGGGCTTGATCTCAGGCCCCTGGGATCATGACCTGAGCTGAAGGCAGACTGAGCCACCCAGGTGCCCGGTTCCATAATTAAAATTTTAAAAGAGCCATATGAGGTTGTAACTTTTTACAACATCATTCAGTTTTGTGGTATTATCAATAGTATTTATGCCTAGACTTTCAAGGACTTTCAACTAGGGAGCTCCTGAAAGGCAGCATTCAAAAGAATATACTTATCATTCTACTTTAGTATCACTCATTATGTTAAGCAAAGAACTATTCAATATACATACATAAATACAATGAAAGTGAATGCTGCGCTTTTTGTCCCCCTGTGCAACATTCTATAAAAGCCATTCCAAAGCGAGGCACACCTGCAATTTGGGACCTTAGGAATTTAGGATTGGTTGACAGCTTGGGTCCCAACAGAGGTCTATTCTGAATGCAAAGCATCTGAAAAGAGTTCGCAAAAGAAACCTTTTGTTGCATTTTTCATATACTAATGTGTTTATTTATTTATTTATTTTTTTAAAGATTTTATTTATTTATTTATTTCACAGAGAGACACAGAGAGAGAGGGAACACAAGCAGGGGGAGTGGGAGAAGGAGAAGCAGGCTTCCCATGGTGCAGGGAGCCCGGTGCGGGGATCGATCCCAGGACCCTGGGATCATGACCTGAGCCGAAGGGAGACGCTTAACGACTGAGCCACACAGGCACCCCAGTACTAATGTGTTTAATAAAGCAAAGAGATGTAGAGAAATTAGCTGGAACATAATATCAAATATAGAAATCATTTAATAACCACAGTTGGAGAAGAGATACAGTATCAATCACATAAAAACACCTTTGACCAAAAGTGGCATTTGAGAAACATATTCAAATGAGAACAAGTTGCCAGATAGCAGATTTCTTTTTTTTTTTAAAGATTTTATTTATTTATTTGACAGGGAGAGAGAAAGAGAGAGAGAGCACAAACAGGGGGAGCAGCAAAGGGAGAGGGAGAAGCAGGCTCCCCGCCCAACACGGGGCTCAATCCCAGGACCCTGAGCTGAAGGCAGACACTTAACCAACTGAGCCATCCAGGTGCCCCGTAGGTTTCAATACTGTATTCTCATATAGTTTCTAGTTTTGGGGCCAGTCTTGCTTGTTTGTTTGTTTATTTTTTAAAAAAGTCTTATAAGAATCTTTTGGAAAGACTTTCAAATCTTTTCACCCACCCTCATGTGAAGGCTTTCTCTACAACACTAAACCTGACCACTTTCTGTCATAACTTTCTCTCACCAAGATTAGCTTCAGAAGGTTCTGGGAAAAGAAGGGGAACTGGCAAGGTACTGCCAGCTTGGCTGCTTGAAGGGGGCAGTGGCCCCACTGTGGTCCTGTGGAAAGGGCTGGTGCTGTGGGCTCCAGGGCTCTCTGAAGAAGCTGGGCAGTGGCACCACTAGCTACTGGCAACTAGTGAATCTGTCTCGTGGATGTAGGCATATCCCTCTAGAACTGTCTAGAAAAAAAACCAGCCACAACAAAGCCTTACTCTTGGTTCATTTTATTTTGCTTTTTTAAAGGTTTTTGTTTTTAAGATTTTATTTATTTGACAGAGAGAGAGAGACAGAGAGACAGAGAGCGCACAAGCAGGGTGAGTGGGAGAGGGAGAAGCAGGCCTCCTGCAGAGCAGGGAGCCCGATGCAGGGCTCGATCCCAGGACCCTGGGATCCTGACCTGAGCCGAAGGCAGACGCTTAATGACTGAGCCACCCAGGCGCCCTCTTGGTTCATTTTAAAGACTTCTAAAACCCCTTGGGTTGCTCACTTTTTAAATTGTTCACATTTAATAGAACAATTCTAAAATTGTTTAAAATTAAAATTCACAGAGAAAAAAAGCTGTCAGATACTTTATTGTCCACATGTATACATGTTTGTTTTCCTAGTGTCTCATATTCAGTTCCTTACTGGAACAATCCCCTTGTCTTTATGCCTTTACTCTCTTTCAATTCTTTTATCATGGTCATCCATTTGCACATCAAAAATGCTGAAACTGAAGCTCTATTTATCTACTCTTCATAGAGCTAAGCCCTACCTGTGACGAAGATCACTTCTCTAGCCTACAATTATCCTAGTTCAGGAATGTTCTTGCTTCCTGTCTCATTCTGTGAAACATCCTCACTGAGTACCCAATGCTGATACTGTATTAACATTCAGTCAGACCCTTTGTTATAATATAGCATATAAATAACCCCCACATTCAGTTACACCTGCCAAATAGATAGCAGTTCAACTGGAGAAAGTTCAGGACTCAGACAGACCCACATTTCCATCCTGATTCCCCTATTTACAAGCTGTATACCACAGTCAGATGTCTCAGCCTCTCAGTCTTGGGTCCCTCCTCTGTAACATGACAAGGATCTAACCTTCATTCAAGGTGGGGAGGGGGTGGGATGAGGTGATGAAATCAGATGTCTAGAAAAAGACTTTCCTATTGTGCCTCACTAGGCAATGTATTTTTTTAAAAAATTTTATCTCAGAATTTAGCCTTCTTTTATTTATATCATGTCTCTAATTCACAGGCTACTTAAATAACAGATAAAATATTTAAATTTTTTTAAAGATCTGTAAATAATTCTTTGTAAACATAAATGGAATCTATTAAGTGAATATGGAAAAAAGATAGCCTTAAATGTATTTTCCTTATAATTTCCAAATACAATAGTTTCAGCATATTATAGATTAATTATTAAACAGCTGGACAAATTGCTTTTTATTTTAAAATTAGAATGTCTTTAACATCACTTATGATTCATCACGGCATATTTACTATACTCTTTTAGTGCCTCTCTCTACTCCCGAGACCTCACTGAAATTACAGTTTAGTTACTTAAAAATTTAAAAAAATACACACTCTGAAGAACAAAAGCTTGCAGGAGAGCTGCATCATCAGATGAGCGATTTCAGACAAGCTTTGGAAACAGAGCGGGGATGGCGGTGTGGTAAACTGCCTTAGCACAGCAGAGGCTGTGCCATAAAGCTCCCAGGAGGTGGCCCCACCACAGGGGAGCCAGCTGACCCACAGGCCCAGGGAAGTTTAGTGCTGAGAGGCCCCACGTAGCACAGAAAGTGGCAATGAGGTGCAGGGCTGACAGCGAGGGTGGTTCAAAGTCTCTGGACAAATCTACTGGACCCCCAGGTACTTTTCCCCACCCCAAGTAGACAACCACTATCCTAGGCAAGAAAACAAGATTTATGCTCTGAACAGATCCATCAGAAAGGCTAAAAATAGGTGATAAAGTGAGAGTTTACAGGCTGAATGGTGGAATTCCCAGACCTCTGCCCTGCTAGCAGGAGACTAGAAGCCAGGAAAAAAGAAGGAAAAAAGCACTGGGTCTTAGAATTATGAGCCCTGTTAAAAATCTCTGTTGATAAATGAAACAATTCAAATAACTACATTCGCCCCTTTAGACACCCACTCTGAATGGAAATAGAAAGTTACCTGAAAACGTTATTCAAAATTTCATACTTCACTTATGTCTTTTCTCTCCCTGGATGAGTTTTTTTTTGTCAGCCAGCTGTCAGTTCCTACTGAAGGAAATCAAAGCTATTCAGAGTTACATAAATACCAATAATTTGTTCCACACATCTCTCCCATTTGGAGTCTAGTTTTTTAATTCCTTGTTAAGACATCCCTACAGTGTTTGTTCACTTAATTATATTTCAGTGATTATGAGTAAAAGCGTCTGGAGTGGATCCCATGCACTGCAGTCCTGTGTATACAGGCCAAGGCTTGCCCTGCAAGGATGCTGGGGTTGAGAGGGGCGCAGCACTCACCTGGTCCAGCCTTCCCCCACCCCACCCCAGTCCATGGCAGCTGAGGAGGCCTAAGAAGGAAGGGTGGGAGAACTCCCAGTCACTCCTCTTATTCGCCTGCTCACCAGGACTTAATTAGATCTTCCTATGTCCTTTCTCTTGTTTCTCTTATGTTTCCTTGCTTCTTGGATACCAGCTTCCCACAGAGTAGGGTTCTGTTTTGAGTACCTGATTTGAGTGGTATCAACAATGGTAGTGCCACATGGGCTGAGGTGTTTTAAAAGCCTTCTTGGAGATGACAGGCTTGGCCTTCCCTGTGGCTCTTTCTCTCCAAGCCACCCCATCTTCCTTGCATGCAGAGAGAAATGTTATTTTCCTTTGAGATTTGTACTCCACCTCCAAATAGGATTGGTGTTCCCTCCCATAAAGGGCCTGGTTGGAGAGGGCAGCAAGGGGGGTGGAAATTAACAAATGGGTTTCAAGCTGGAAATTCAGCCCCTCACTCTTGCCCCAAGGTCGTCCTGTCTTTGTGCTGCCCACAAGGGGACCAGAGCATGCTCAGAAGGGGCAGCAGGCTATATGTATCAGAGACTGGGGCTCTGTTTATTCCCAAGTTACCAACCCTTGGGAAACTGATCCTCTGGGATTCAGTTTCCTCATCCTGAAATGGGGATAATATTTACAGAAGATGACTGTGAGAATTTTAGAAGATCCTAATATACTTGCCATTTAGGAATTAAATAAATGTCAGTTTCTAAACATGCATCACTACATATGAATCCTGGGCTGATGAGGTCTGACAATGGGAGGCCAAAGTGCCTACACCAATGGGTTTTCCAGCTTCTGTGGGCATAATCACATGGAGAGCTTCTTAAAAATAAGATTTCAGGCTCCACTCCCACATAGTCAATAGGGGATGCTTCCTATGCAGACTTGGAGAAAATCTGTGACAAACTCTTCCTTCCTCACTTCCTATTCACTGTCAAGCCCTGCCTCAGGCTTTTACCAGGCTGGCTGTCTACATCGTCACTTCTAGGGTGTCTGCTGCTCAACTCTCCCGGAGGAGCTAAGGGCAGAGATGACTGCCATGGCCTAGAGAGGGATGAAGGAGCCCACAGGTCTAGAGAAGAGTACAGCCTTGAGTTAGAATGGGCCAGGCACTGGAGGTGTGCAGTCCCACCCTTCCCAGACAGGTCTGAAAAAATCCAGAGGTACAGTGGGCAGCCCAAGGCCAGGATGTGGGGGCTATGGCACTTAGATTTGAAGCGAAACATGTGTCTTCTTGCCATGCAAGCGAAGGGCCAAAGCCAGAACAAAAAATGTGCCAGATTGTCCCAGGAAATGTAATGACTTGCCAGGAAAGTGTTCTTCTCTGGCAGCAGCTTGGAAGAAATATTTCGAAACTGCCCAAGGGAAGGAGTGAGTAGCTGGTAAGGTTTGCTGTGTTTCCCCACACAAAGCCAAAAAAGGGCTGGTGTCTTTTAGTTACTTGTATGTCCCCTAGGCCTCTGGGCTGGGTCCCCCCGGCGGCTACACCCCCACCTCTCTCAGCAAACACCCCTCCCAGCACACACACAGACACACAAACCTATACCTCCAAGTCTCAGGGAACCAAGGTGATAGGATTTCCAAGCCGTTGAGGATTCTGGCAGTGTCTCCACAGTCCCCGCTGGCTCCGGGAACCAAGCTTGGTGCCTCAGTTTTTCCCGAGAGCGAGAGCGAGCGAGTGGTGCTGTCGGAGAAGGGCAAAGGAAGGTGACTGGGGCGACAGCGCCGGGGCACCGATGGGGGCGGGGTGTGCGTTCTGTCGCCTCGTCTCTGAGCCAAGACAGGCAGCCGGCGAGCTGAGGCGATCGCCATCCACGTGAAGGGGTTCTGCCCAGAGCCGCAGCGGAGCGGTCCCCGCACCGCCAGCCCAGAGAACACGGCCCTCCCTCGGGAAATGGGCGCGTCCGAGGGGAGCAGCCATTGCCGCCACCCCCGGGCAGGGGCAGGGGCACCTCTGGACCCCGGACCTCCTGTAAGGGGGGCTCGGGGTCCGGGTGCCAAGGCGGTGCGCGCCCGAGAGACGCCGGGACCGGGCTGCCCGCCCCCGTGTGGCTCCCCTTTGTCGAGCCAGTGACTGCAAACGGCTCCGCAGCCCCCAGCCCGCCTCCCGCGCCCAGCCAGTAGCTCCCGCCTCCCGGCGGCCAGAGGCACCTGCGGAGACGCGCGCTAGTCGGACCCCCAGACCCGCGCGCTCCTGCGGCCTCGCGCGCGCCGTTCCCGCTGCGGCGCTAACCCGCGCCCGCGAGCCCCTGCCGGGATGCTCCCCGCCATCCCGCAGCCGCGGGGCTGCCCCTATCCACTCTCCCGCGCTGCAAGGCCGAGCAGGAGACGAAACCCGTATCCCCGCGGGGTGTAAGCCCCAGCCGCTGCAAAGCCCGAGCCGAGAACAGACAGGGATTGCGGGAGACGCGAGAGTAGGCTCGGGCGGAGTCTGGACAGGCCCCTGTCCCCCAGCAGCCCTCGGTTGACTGCGGGTCTCGGTCCCCGCTCAGGCACCGCAGTGACAGGGTGCGCGGGAGGTGCGGGCTCCTAGGGCCTGAGCGTACCGGCCGGGGCGCACGGAGGCCGCGGGGCCCCGGGCAGCGCCCTCCATAACCTCCTCCGGGCAGCCAACACGGCGAACCAAAGTTTCTCCACGTGCAGCCTGCGGAGACGCCGTCGCACACGAACCTGGGACGCGCTGTCAAGTCGGCGTCGGCGTCTCCCACCCACGGGTAGGCTCGGACCTTCCGCGCCCGTCTCCAGGGTGCCGTCCGGGCTGGCTTCTCTTCCCGGGCTCCTCGGCGGTTGGAGTCGCAGATCCCGGTAGGTGCTGCCCTGTCTCCGCCCCTGCTCAGCCCAGAGAGGCGGGCGGCGGGCGGCGGGCGGCGGGGCTCGCGCCGGGAGCCGCGGAGCGTCGGTGCCGGGGCCGGGAGGCGCGCACCTCGCCAGACGCCCGGGCGGTGCGGCGTTTCCGCTGGGAGTGACGCGCTGGTTCCCAGCTGCTCGGCAGGTGGGGGCGGCGGGGCCAAAGTCTGTTCGGACCCTGGGGCCTTCAAAGTCTGTCTCTGAAGCTCCGCCCAGTGTCCCCACAAGTAGCCCCCCCCCCAACAACCACACACACCCCTCACCGCAGCCGCGGCGCTTTGGCGATAGGGTCTTCTCCATTGTCCCGAGACCGCCACCCCTACATCCCGGCCTCTGGTTTCCCCTGGCCATACCTGCATCTCTCCCTCCAGTTCATAATCGACCGGACTGGTCCATGTGTCTGTCTCCCACGGCTCCTTCTTCCCCCTTCTCGTCCCTCTACCTGCTTTAGGTAGAGTCTGAGTCTCCCTTCAGGTTGGGGTGTTGGTGGGAGCAACCGTTCTTGTTTTTCTTTTATGAGTTTATAACTTTATTACACTATTTTTAAAACTTTATTACACTATTATTAAAACATTAATATAACACTATAACAAAATTTAACGAAATGTGTATTTTATGTGTTAAACTGTGCTGCAGTGGTTTTAACTCTTCATTTATCAGAGGTCGTCGTGGTGGAGAAAAGACTATTACCGTTTTTTGTTGTTGTTCAGTTAATGTCAATCAAAACTAGTTTGTAGTTTTGAGTCCTCAAAGGGGGAAAGTAAACTTATCTCTGGGCAGGCTTCTTTTATTTAGGAAAATAACCCGCTGAGGGGCGCCTGGGTGGCTCAGTCGTTAAGCGTCTGCCTTCGGCTCAGGTCCTGATCCCAGGGTCCTGGGATCGAGCCCCGCATCAGGCTCCCTGCTTGGCGGGAAGCCTGCTTCTCCCCTCCCCCCACTCCTCCTTCTTGTGTTCCCTCTCTCGCTGTGTCTCTCTCTG